AACCTTAATTTTTTAATTTTTTTGATTTTTTTTGAAAAAAAAAACTTAGCACTTATTAAATTCTTCCAAGTCTTTTTAACTTCTCCAATACACACTCTTTTTAACTTTTCAGATACCTATTGCAAACAGTGAGTCTCTTTTTTGTTTTCTCCTTCTTGACTTCTCACTTCTACACTTTCAACTTCAGTGATCACGTAGGCAAACAGTAAGTCTTCTTTTTGTTTTTTTCCTTCTTGACTTTTCCTTTTGTTTACTGTTTTAATATTGTCGTTAGATAGCGCATAAAAATATTTGTGATTTGTCTAGCGAATAAAAAATTATAATTTGATTTTTTAATATGATTGAAGTTAAATAAATATAAACCCTTACAAAGAGAAAAATGTGATTATAATTAGTTGAATGATTCTTTTTTTTAATGTGATTGTAGTTAGTTTAATAGTTCTTTTTTATTATTTATTTATTTTGTTATGTGAAAAATGTGATGTGATTGTAGTTTGTTCAATGGCTCTTTTTTTAATATGATTGTTGTAGTTAGTTCAACGATTTTTTTTAATGTTATTTAATCTTTTTATTTACTATTTTAATTTTATTTTTAATATGATTAAAGTTAGATAATATAAACCCTCACAAAGAGAAAAATGTGATTATAATTAGTTGAATGATCCTTTTTTTTAATGTGATTGTAGTTAGTTTAATAGTTCTTTTTTGTCATTTATTTGTTTTATTATAGGAAAAATGTGATGTGATTGTAGTTTGTTCAATGACTCTTTTTTTAATATGATTGTTGTAGTTAGTTCAATGGTTTTTTTTTTAATGTTATTTAATCTTTTTATTTACTATTTTAATTTTATTTTTAATATGATTGAAATTAGATAAACATAAACACTCACAAAGAAAAAAATGTGATTGCAGTTAGTTCAATGGTTCTTTTTTTTTTAATGTGATTGTAGTTGGTCAATGGTTCTTTTTTTCATTTATTTATTTATTTATTTTATTATGGGAAAAATGTGATGTGATTGTAGTTTATTCAATGGTTCTTTTTTTTTGATGTGATTTAATCTTTTATTTACTGTTTTGATGATTTTTCTTTTCAATTATTTATGAAAAAAATATGATTGTAGTTAGATAGCATAAAAATATTTGTGAGTTGATTTATTTATTTTTTATTTGATTTTTAAAGTACCAATTATTGATAATGACTAGATTGTATTTTGAAAAAAAAATTGTAATTGATTTTTTTAACTCACTGTGTTTTTTGAAAAAAAAATTATTGTGTTTTTTTAACTATCAATTCACTTAATTTGTGATTTGATTTTTAACTCACTGTGTTTTTTGAAAAACAAAATGGATTGTACTCATTAGGGTCACATAATGTACCAATTATTGATAATGATTAGATTGTATTTTGACCCCAAAAAAAGTTGTAATTGATCTTTTTAATTCACTATGTTTTTTGAAAAATAAATTATTGTGTTTTTTAATTATCAATTGACTTGTGATTGATTTTTTTAATTATTGATGATGATTAGATAGCATTAAAAAAATTATGATTTGTATGATTGAAGTTATCTCCTTTTGTTTATAATTTTATTTTTTAATATGATTGAAGTTAAATAAACATAAACACTCAAAAAAAGAAAAATGTGATTGTAGTTTGTTCAATAGTTCTAAATAATCTTTTTTATTTACTATTTTAATGGTTATTTTTTTCAATTATTTTTTTTATCATGAGAAAAATATCATTGTAGTTAGATAGCATTAAAAAAATTGTAATTTATATGATTGAAGTTATCTCCTTTTGTTTATAATTTGATTTTTTAATATGATTGAAGTTAACTCACAAAAAAAATGTGATTGTAGTTTGTTCAACGGCTCTAAATAATATTTTTATTTACTATTTTAATGGTTCTTTTTTTCAATTATTTTTTTTATTATGAGAAAAACATGATTGTAGTTAGATAGTATTAAAAAAATTGTGATTTGTATGATTGAAGTTATCTCCTTTTATTTATAATTTGATTTTTTTAATATGATTGAAGTTAGATAAACATAAACATTCACAAAAATAAAAATGTGATTGTAGTTTGTTCAATGCTTCTAAATAATCTTTTTATTTACTATAACATATTTCTGTGTCTTTACCAAATTTGAAATACTCTACGAATTATATTATTTTTCCTAATCTCAACTTCTTCTTTTTTTAATTGTAAAAACAGTTTCACATTGGTAAGACTAACTCTATGGGATGTGTTTGCAACAACTGATGGCATGCAACTATATCATACTCTAGAGAATGATAAGATTTTGTTTGCCACTGAATTAACAGTTGAAGATTATCATGATAGGATTACTTTTTATTCACTTTTATAATATCTACATGCATATACAAATATTTATATTAATAAATTATCTTTTCTCAACTTCTAGGTCCATGTCGCGCTACATGCAAATACAGCAAGTTATATATTAATCATTCATTCTGTTATACAAATCATATTCGAGTGTAGTATGTTATGACTGTATAATATTAATCAATTATATATGACAATATAATTCTCACAATTATATATATATATATATTGACATGTTTATCTAGGCTTGCTATGAATCTTATATCACAAAAGTTGGTATCTTGGAATCGAAAAAATGGATTCTCAATTTCATAGTCATTGAAAATATCAAATGCCAAAAAAATTCGAATACGTGATTTTGCACCCATGCCAAAGGTAAGAATTGTTTTCGAGAGATATAATGAAAATTAAATGATATGTATATAATTTGTTTATAGAGAGATTAATTTATGTTTTTTCAAATATTTTGTAGGTTTCATATTTTCGAATACTTGGATACATCGAACAAATTGATGTTGACAACCTTTGGATTGATTTGTGCAAAAGTTGAATATCATTATGGTCACATTGTTTGTCGCCACTGCCTACATGATGATATTAATATTATAACAAGGTAATTTTCTTTAGGTAAATAATTACTATGTACAATAATAATTCAAACTTAACAAGTGTTTTAGTTTTTTATTAGGTACAATATTTCCTTTTAACAAGTGTCCTTTTTTTTTTGGTTGATAAGATACAATGTTAACCCTGTGGTCAAAGACAGTACTGGTTCAATAAATCTCACTGTTCAAGATAAACGGGCAGAGTTTATTTTGCGATGTCAACCATCATATTTGAAGAATATGAGATCAAAGGTAGGAAATTATAAAATTTATTATAAATAACTTATTCTTACTTTTTCAAACACAAAGTTATAATTCCAAAATTTTATAGGATAATGGCGTTAGAATGATTAAAGATTATATTGCGTCATGCCGAGACCGTGCTTATGCATTTATCATACCTGTACCAACAATGCCACGTCAACTAGATTGTGCACCGTGTTTAACCTTTGTTTTAAATATAGATTGGTCTGAAGAATGTCTATACCTTTCAGAAAGTAAAAAAAAAAATGTAAGTATAACATTTTTACTTTATAACATTTTATAAATACATAATATATGTATTGTTCATTAATTATGATACTAACTGTCATGTTGACAATGTAGGAATGCTGATGGAAGGCCCACAACAATTTAGATTTTAGTTATTTTTTGTTTTACTTATTCAGTGAATTTCGAACAAATGTAATAAATTCTTATTTTTATTACTTTAATTATGCAATGTCAATATTTTCTTTTAAAATTACATATATTTTATGCTAACAATTTAAAAATATGTTTGACATAACTATGAATGATTTTTTTTTCTTAAATTTATTCTCGTGCATAGCACGGGTGATATGCTAGTATTAAAGTCATGCCAATTGTGATATTAAAATTCACAAATGACATAACTTGCATATATAATATATGCATATCATAGCATTACCCATGCATGTTATACCTAGGGGTCAACTTGGGCGGGCTCAACCTGAGCAACCCGAACCTAGTCCAAATTTTTTTAGAGCTTGGACAAGATATTTTTAAATTCGGTACGGGGTTGGGCAAAAATTCAGAAGCCCGAATTAAATTTGGACGGGCTTGGGAAAAGATGTCAAACAACCCGAGCAATCCGAAACTCGAATTATACATATATAGATATATAAAAATGTTAAATATACATATAAATTATTAGTCATTACATGATATTAAAGTAATTTAGATTATTAAATCATATTGAATATATATTATTATATATACAATAACATAAAATCTTTTTTTTTATTTATTCACTCATAAATTGTAAGGACTACTATAGCGACATCTCTCTCACATTATATAAATTATTTGTGTTTGATATTATTAATGATTTACAATTTGGACAATTTGAGTTTAACTCAGGTCTGGCTTGGACAGGCAATCTCGGGTTATAATTCAGGTCTGGGCAGGTCTCCGCACAACTTAGACTGAATTTAGACAACCTTCTAATCTGACCGAACCCACCCGAATTGCACACTTAATTATACCCACTAACTCCTCATTCATGTATCATGTGGCTTAGTGGCATGGAATGACACTTGGGTGCTTGCAAAGAAGAGGCTGGGGATTCAACTCCTCTCAACAACTAATCTAATAAATAACAATTAATATTTGCTGATAAAAAAGAAGTCTCAACATTATTTATTCAAGAAAATATGAGTTTTTGAAAATGAATTTAAAATTAGCTTGTCTAAATAACGAATCAATCTCGAATTACCTTTTAGCAGGCCATAAACAAGTCATATACTAATAACTTGGGTTATTTTACAGTCTTATCCATGTATTACGAAACCTTTTGAAAAATCCAATTCCGCCCCTAAAATTTAAACAAAAATAAAATAAAAAATCACATTGCAAATAACCCACATCAATTAACAAATATTAACAATACAGTTGACAGTGTACACAAATGACAAAATACAGCCCAAGAAGACAAACCAGCAAGCTCTACAGAAACCATTTTAATAGACCCCCACACTTCTCAAATCAGAGACACTAACAACAACAAAAATGCTGAAATGGCTTTGCCATTGGTGTAACATTATTCAAATCAGATATGCTATGGGGACAAGAAATGCTAAACTAACATTAAAATCGATGATTATTTAAGGGCATGCGCACACACAAAATATTCAATTTTTAATCTACAAAAAAAAGGGGATTCAGTAGGCTAAACAAAAATGTCAAGTGTTGCCATACAGATTGTGGTAACTTCTCATATACTATGAGAAGGAACTATATATTCTATCACCTATACTTCCCAACCTTGGATTGTCTATATATATAACCAATCTCAAACAGTTGGATTATTCCCAGCCCTTTCTTCTTCATCATCATCATCATCATCATCTGCAAAATCAAAATTTGAAAAATAGAAATAGAAAGAAAAAAAATAAAAAATGTAGATGCCTATTCTAACTCTCTTCCTTCTCTCTCTTCCAACCTTGCCAGATCCCAACAGAATCATTTCCATCGCTTTGCACTTTTAAACCGTGTAGTGCTGCTGAATGGTCTCAATGTCAAGACCCTTGAGCTTCACCACAGATTCAACGTGTCCTTTAAGCGTGTGAAGCTCCCTTAACCTGCAAAATAATTAGAAAAAATATGTACAAAATTAAAATTTATATGATAACAGAGAATAATTAGAAAAAATATGTACAAAATTAAAATTTATATGACAACAGAGGATAAATCTTCTCATGATGTGATTATTATTACCTAGCAACTTCAGCGCGTCTCATGGCCTGTTCAGCAATTTCAGATAACTCGCGGTAGCTGTTCTTGTCATTGAAGAGCTCCGATGTCCTTGGAGGTTGGAGACCGTGCAATGTACGTTGAGCCAAAGCCCACTGGGCCTCCCTCTCTCCTCGGCCATAGTCCTTTTTCGTTGTGAAAGCAGTCTGGATAATTCAAGAGAAGTTGAGAGATCAACCAAGCATGGAAAAAAAATTCTGGACAAGCAATAGCAAACTATTGCATAAATATACCTTATTCTGAAGCATATTATCCCAGGCCCTACCGCTCAATGCAAATCGAATCAAGAACTTGAAAAGATCGAGTGGAAAGTAGAAGACAATACTGAAAAGCCAAATAACTCCGGCCCATCCCCAACCGATACCTTTGATCCTCGCAAAGGGCCAATCGGCATATACAGCAATCAATGTAGCAATCTTAAGCAAACAAGCAAAATTTATCAAAAAATTTGCAGCCAAACTAAAATGTAAAAGAACATAATGACATATCAGCAGTTGAATTATGATTTATGCAACTCACCAGCTGTGCGATTAGGAATGCAGTAAGAAGCAGAAGACCAGGACGTTCAACAAAGGACCAGCTCCTGGACCGGGTTACAAAGATAAGAGCCTGACTAACAATGCTTACTTGAAGGTATACAGCTGCAGTAACCTCATCAGGGTTGTTCCTAATCGATCTTACCCCAAAATTTTCCTGCCAAATAAGTACAAACAGATTTTACACTTATCAAAAAAATTCTGAAAATCCAGTAACAGACTTGAAGCCATATGAAGTTTATTGATAGAATTTTCTTACAGAGAAGAAGTCAGACTCATGAATAGCCCAGAAGAAAATAACAGTCATGACGGCAAGATAAGTGCCAAGAACCACTCCAGTGGCGAAAATTTCCTTGAGCTTCCACGAGTCGGGTAGGGGAGATGGCTTGACCTTGTCTTTCGAAATGGTCATGATGGTTCCATCATTGAGAATGGCAATGACAAGAACCATGAAAGGCGAGAAGTCAAATTTCCAGATAAGAGCAATAAGCATGAAGCCCAAAACGATTCGGATTGTGATAGAAACAGCATAGATGGTGTAGTTTTTCATCCTCTGGAAAATGGCTCTGCTTGTCAAGACGGCACTCACAATCACACTTAGTCCGGGCTCTGTCAGGACAATGTCAGATGCACTCCGGGCTGCATCGGTTGCATCAGCCACTGCAATACCAATGTCTGCCTTCTTTAAAGCTGGAGCATCATTTACACCATCTCCTGTCATCCCACAGATGTGCTTCCTCTCCTGTAACTTCTTCACAATCTCATACTTGTGCTCTGCATCATTCACCCACTAGTGTTGATTGTTTTTCTCAAACACAGCAAATAGTTTGCAATTAGTCCAACTAAAACAATAATGATTACATTATTCTTCTTCCTATTGGGATAGTGAAATCCGAGATGATTTCTTTCTCCCAGTCAGGGGCAAAGCTAGGGGGTGCCATGGCCCCCCATGATTTTTGAAAAGCATGTATATAGGATTTGCTCTCATACATTAATTTATAATCAATAACATTTACCCTTGGGCCCTCTGACTTTGGAAAAAAAATTATATGGTATGGTGCAAAGACATTATTTTGGAAAAGTTTTATATAGTTTAGTGCAAATACTTTACAACTGGCTTTAATATAATAACTTTCCTACATTATAACTTGGAGACATTTCACTGTTCAAGCTTTAATATGTATAGTTTTTAAGAAAAGTTTTAATCTAGAGACATATTACCATGAATGTACACTTGATATGAATTCATAAAATAACTTTCTGGTTGTTTTTTTCTCTATCATATTCATAATTTAATATACATGCTATATTTATTTATATTTACTAATTATACTTTTGTATGAAACGTTTTTTATTAAATTGTTCTTGGCGCCCCTTAAAATAAAATCCTGGCTTTGCGTTTGCTCCCAGTCAAGTTCATTTACATTTTCCAGAATTATTTACAGATTTTACCAATCAATTTCAATGTTTAAATCTCTCTGTAATAAATAATTTCTCAAAATGCTAAATTGTTATTGTGGCTTGTCCCAACAGCCTACACAAATAAGATAGGAGAATGTAGTCCACGTACCAGGGAAGACACCAGCAAAGCCATCGGCTTTCTCAATTAGCTCTTCGACAGGGATATCAGCAATGGTCTCATCTTTGCTCTGACCGAGGAGGGTGGAAGAGGGATACATGTTGGTCCCCATGCCAAGCCTGCGACCAGTCTCCTTGCCAATGGCTAGCTGATCACCAGTGATCATCTTAACATTGACACCAAGGTGAAGGGCACGTCTAATGGTCTCTGCACTATCATGCCTTGGAGGATCAAAAAGAGGCAAGAGACCCACAAACACCCATGGCCCTCCTGGACTGTCCTTGTTCTTCTCTGGTACTGCCTGTAAGCAAAACCAATACCACCAGTTATTATAATATGCACTCGACTTCATTCATTAAACACCTACTCAATGACAAAAGAATACAAACTCACCTGTTGAGCAACTGCAAGGGAGCGAAGACCACGATCAGCAAATTTATCAATGATGTCATGAGCTTTCTTGCTCACATCATCCTTAAGTTTACAGAGCTCGATAATCTGGTAGAAATAAACAGGTATATAAATATATTGAAACTAGAGTGACAGCAAATCAAAGGCTATATCCGTGTTTTCTGGATGACACCCTTACCTGTTCTGGTGCACCTTTGCTAACTCGGTGCCAATTTCCATTGGAGTCAATGTATGTTATGGCTGTTCGCTTTTCCACTGGGTTAAAGGGCAGGAAATGCACTTCTGTGATTCCTGCTCTAGCCTGAAGAGCACAAGTGAGAGATTAATTACTGCTTACCCAAGTGGACACATTCAAGTAAATTGTATCAACAAATGGACTGGAAAACTTCTTATCAAAACTAGCAGTGTTTTAAAACATGATCGAATGCTGTAGCAGGCTATTCTTTCCCTCTTTCTTTTCACTTTTCTTTGATCAAGTTAACATTGATTGAATTGATGATCGTAAAAGTTCAAAGTAAAGGAGCTTCAGATATGACTTTCCTACATGGGATTGAGAGCCAAAAACTGATATAACATTCTCTGTTTCTTTTGATTTTCTCTTATTATTTCATCCACACCAAAGAAGATGCAAAATTAAGGTGCCCTTCAGCCAAGGAGCAGAGTGAACTCTGCAATCCATGTTAGGTTTTTAAAGGTTCATTTGGTTGAGACTCTTCAAGCTTGATCTGAGCACAACCAACAAGACTAAGGCTTCTATTCTATTTAGTCCAAGCTCAGGACTATTAGCATGGCTGCTTGTCACATCCCTACTGAATTCTCCAAATATATACAGATGGGAGCCTAGAAGAATGGGAGCCAATGGAAGAATCTAGAACTTCCTAGCAAACTCTAGCACATATGAGACCATGGAGAATTCTAGAAGGCCCTAGGGAATTCAAGAACACACCACATATGACTAAACTCGTAGATATTTGTATAGATATTTCTAGAAGGCATTCTAGAATGATCTTGTGGCTTGTAAGAAGGCTTCCATGGGAAGCTTCTACACACCACTTTCTTGTGTATTCTAGAATGCTCCAAAGGAACCTATAAATAAGAGAGGGGCTCATTTGCTCCAATCCATCCAAGAGTTGTACAAGCTTTCTCAAAGTGAATACAAAGGCATTCTCTCAAACTCTCTTTATCTTCTTACTAGTCTTTTTGCAAGCTTGTGAGTTAGGCTGACTTAGTATCATCAAGTAAGGCTTGTGATTGTCTAAGTGCCGCACAGAGTGCTTGGAAATAACCAAGGCCATGACATGCTGCTCTTATTCACCAACTAATTCAAATGACACACTTGAGTTAAAAATCATTAATTCTACTTTTTTTCAAATTGAAGTTATGAAACGAAAGATGTGCCTTGTCTAATCATTAATTCTACTTTTTTCAAATTCAATTTAATTTATGAAATGAAACATGGGCCTTATCTAATCAGTTCATCATACCTTACTAGATCTACCCTACAAGTCAAAAGGAGTAACCACAGTAGAAAAACACAAACTCAAACAGCTCAGGAGCCTAATGAGCTGAGCTCGAGCTTCTGAAAGTAGCTCTTTCAATTAAGTTATTAGCTCAACTGAAACATGTTTGTTTGGCACTTAGTAAACTTTCCTTAATATATGATACAACTCTTTGCTGACATTACCTCCTTGGGATCAGCCAACATTCCAACAATACAAGCATCAATAGCATCCTGATTCTCCACCCTAGAAGCCCTTGCCCCTAGCAAAATTACCATATCTTTCTCCACATCCCTTGTAAATACCTGCATATGAAGGCATTACTTCTTTGATTAGTGAATCGACAGAATTCAAGTGTTACCCAAACATTTTAAAAACTTTTCTTTACTATTTTCATTGTTGCGTACTTTTACATTCACCATTAGATATCCTGAAACTTCATCTTAGATTAATCATAGCGTATTCTTCACCAAATAATAGTTAATTACCTACCTCAATCAGGTTTTTGTCAACTGTAAGCTTGTTAAGGGTGAGAGTCCCAGTCTTGTCACTACAAAGGACATCCATCCCAGCCATCTCTTCAATAGCTGTCATCCTCTTGGTGATGGCTCCTTGCTGTGACAGACGGTGGGATCCAATAGCCATGGTCACAGACAATACAGTAGGCATGGCAATCGGAATGCCTCCAATGAGAAGAACCAGTAGATTATCAATCCCATCCCTGTACTTGCGGTGTTGAATTGGGTACATCACCACTATCTCTATTATGATCCCCACCGCAATGGAGCATATACAGAAGTTACCAATGGCTGTCAATACCTAATCATACCATCACCCATCCAATGAAGTTAGAGAAAACAGCAAGAAGCAGAAATTAGAAATGATAATAATTCCTTTTCTTTTTGTAGGCAAACTACTACAATTTGACATTGGTACCATTAGCATATACTTTTTGTATGTAACTACAGTTTGACATATTGTCTTAGTTTTCTTATTTCAAATTATGCAATTCTACTTTACTGTTGCCAAGCATGTCTGAATAAGTTTAATTTCATATCATTCAATAATCTATTTCAACCTCAAATTTTCAAATATATCAAGTGATGTCACAATGATGATATCTTCTTCTTCCTAAAGAATATGAATTTCTTTTTTCCAGCCCAAGTTCATTCTTGAGTTTTTCGAACTTAATTACAAATTGATTTCCATTTAGATCCAAAATGTTAAAACCACCTTGCAAACTGTCACAAGTTTCTATAATACCTTTTGGAAGTGGCCTACTTGGTTGGTACTGTCAACAAGGTGAGCTGCTTTGCCAAAGAAGGTGTGCACTCCAGTGGCAATCACAACAGCCTCAAGCTCACCTTGTTTACAGGTGGAACCTGAGAATACTTCATCACCTGTGTTCTTCGTTACTGGCAAGGACTCCCCAGTGAGGGCAGATTGATCAATTTTGAGAGGGTCTCCTTCCAAGAGACGTGCATCTGCTGGGACGATATCTCCCAACTTAATGCTAACTATGTCACCCGGTACCAGGATAGCCGCGTCCTGCTCGCCCCATTTTCCATCTCTCAAGACCTAAACCATTAAACATAAACATAGAACTAATGTCGTTGTGTATCCAGTACTTTTAATTTATTTGACATATTTCATGGGTCAGTTTTTCTATAGTCTTGTTATCTTGTAAAAGTACCTTTGTCTTGGGAGCAAGACCAGCCATTAGTGCTGATGCAGCATTGCCTGCATTGTTTTCTTCTATAAAGCTGATGGTAGAGTTGATGATAAGCAATGACACGATACCAACAAAATCTTGCCAATCTGGAGGCTTCCCCTGCATTTATTTATTGATGAAAACCAGAACTTGAGAGAGAGAGAGAGAGAGAGAGTGAGAGAGAGAGAGAGAGAGGTGACTGGGTGAGACAGAGCGTTACCCCTCCATTTGCCAAGACAATGGCCATTATAGCAGCGCACTCCATAACCCATGACAAAGGATTCCACATGAAACCCAAAAATTTTAGAAGCTTACTTTCCTGTTTCAATATTGTTTGAAAATATCAGTTTTCAGGAGTACTAAAAATAAAGCAGCAGAATGGGAGCACTTAGCCAAATAAAACTTTGCCTTCTTCTCCTCAAGCTTATTTGGGCCAAAGATTTCGAGCCTGTGCTGCCCTTCCTCACTTGTCAATCCTTCCTTTGTACATTTCAATTGTTCGAATACTTCCTCAACTGGTATACGCTCCTGTGCATACATAATTGGATTGAGTAGGTACTTTTTATCATCATGATTTCTCATTAAATATATTACTTCTTAACATAATAAGCATTTGGATTAATTTAAAACAAATCTTCTGATTAAACTGATGCATATAGTTTTGTTGCATGCCCCTTCAAGAAAACTCAAACTGCATGAGTTATATATATACTATAAATGGTATCAAACTAATTATACTTGATCCACAGTAATTTTTAATTTATAGATTAGCTGAAGTTTATTATTCCAATTTCATAGACATGTAAAAAACTGATAATTTTTATATTTTCTGGTCTTTAGTGGACATTTTTTAGATTTTTTCATAAATATTTTTGTTTGTTGTTTGGTTTTTAAATTTTTTTTTTTTTCTAACAAACTAAAAATTAATTTAGTGATAAAATGGGAAAAAATAAGAAAGTCCAAATTGAAAGTGATATTAGGTGATAAAGCAATATGAGGTGACACTTCAAAGGGGTAAAATGTAATTTATCCAATTGATGAAAGGGTATTTTAGTGATAAAGATCTAAATTGGAAAAAAACAAAAAAAAAATGGTAAATGAAGGGGTTAGTTGTTACAATTTTAGTTGAAGAGGTAAAATAATACGGATCAATAGTTGAAATTCTTATTGTTTCGGGCTAAATCACCTCATTCAAACGAGGCAAAGCGTCAATTCAAATTATTCATAGAATCCATTTGACACCTTTAAAAGGGGTGTATTATATGCATCCCTAATTACGTAATTTTTTTTTTTTTTTTTTTTTTGTTTTTTTTTTTTTTTGGTTATGACTAATTTTTTTCTTTAATTATGATATTATTTTAGTTATAATAGATGAGATCTTTAGTTATCCCTCAGGTTGTGTTTACTTATGACATTTTTATCCAAACGAAACAAAGCGTCAATTCAAATCATTCATAGAATCCATTTCAGATGGGGGAAATTCCAATATACATACCTTTAAAAGGGGTGTACTATATGCATCCCTAGTTATGTTATTTTTTTCTTTAATTAGGACCAATTTTCTTATTTAATTATGATATTATTTTAGTTATAACAGATGAGATCTTTAGTTATGGCTCAGGTTGTGTTTAGTTATGACATTTTTATTAGTTATGACTCAAAAAATATGAAATTATGTCATTTTCTTCTTTAGTTATAAGGAGTGTTTCCCTTGAAATTAACTACCAACATTATTAAAAAATAGAGGGGAAAAAAGTTTTACTTTTATGACAAAATGAATTTTCAATTTTGTCAATTTAAATTTTAATCTTTTTATTTGTTTTCAATCTGAAGCATATGATTAAATAAAATCAAAAAAAATAGACATTTTATGTATACATTGAGATTAATCACTAAAATAAAAATAAAAAAATTGTACGGTTTTAGTTAACACAAATAGACACATAATTTAGATTGAAAAAAAAAAATCAAAAAATTAATATTTAAATTGATAAAATTAAAAATTCAACATTTATTTTATTATAAAGGTTAAACTTTAGGGTTTTTTTTTAAAATTATTCCAAAAAAATAACTAAAAAAGTTCACATCCATGTGAATATGCATTTAAATTAATAGATTATGGAAAACAAAGGATTGAACACTATGTTTGGAAATTAGGAGAGAAAAGAAATGAAATAATTGCTTGAGTTATAAGAGAAAAGAAAAAAAAAATAATCTCATTCTTATTTGGATAGATTTTATAAGAGAAAAGAAAAGAAACTGTTTTATATTATATTACTAAAATAATTTTTTTATATTTTGTCAATCATTTTAATTCTTTTATTTTTATGGGATAAAATTAATATTATGAAAATAAAACAATTTGTTAATTTTTTTTTTTCTCATAATAAATGAAGATTAGAAGAGAAATAAATTTCTCTCTGCCTCTCTCTTTTTCTTGTCATTTCTCTCCACTTAAGCGATTCAAATACATCCTTTTCATTGCTTTTCTTTTCCCTCAAAATCACACAATCCAATAGTGGAAGTGATCACCATGATAATCAACCAAAACAGAAAAAGATCAAACAGAGAGAAAAGAAACGAAAATTCTTACGAGATCGACGTTCTCATTCTTGATTTCTTCCAAGCTAATTCCTTTATCCGCCATGATTCTTTATATTCTTCACTCTCACTCACACAATAGTTTTCAGATTTTTCAAAAAAAAAAAAAACAGCAACAACAATGCCGAAGAAGAAACGAAAACCTAAAAACACGGACTCAAATCTCCCTCTCTATTCCTCCTTTCTATCTCTCTCTATACACTCCCATAAGTACGTATAGATCTCTCTCTTTCTCTCTCTCTCTCTCTAAGCATTGAGCTCCATAGACTTTTCCTTTGTAACGAACTTCGAATCCCACCATATTTATATGAGGATTCAGTGAGTGACCGAAAGAAAACCCCAATGAACGAACGGGCGGGACTGTTGTGGTTCCGTGGCCCAGGTCATTCGGTCAGAGGAGGGATGATAATGTGACTTAGGTTTTGTAGAGTGTGGATGAGAAGTACCAATTGTTTTGTGCCACGTGTATTGTGGTTTTGAGGTGGCGAGAAATGAGTGGTGGGGTTTGATGGTTTTGGTGGAGTGGGATGTGAGGGGATCCTTGGGAACACTTGGCGGGAATGGCGTGGAAGAAGGGGTGAATTGGTTTGGACTTTGGACTTGGCTATAAACATGTGGTTGATTAACATGTGGTTAATTTAAGTAAAGTTTCCCTTCATTTTGAAGTGTTTTCCTGATTATACGTGGGTTTTTAACATAGATTTGGAAAAAAGTGTTTTTGAACATAATTTTTAGATAAAACAAAAAAAAAAAAAACTTTACGATTTGACCTCTTTAACAAATTAAACTTTAAATTTTTAATTTCATCAATTTAAATTTTAAAATTTTTATTTATTTTCGATCTAAATCATTTGTCTATTTTTATTAAGAAAAATAAATAAAAAAATTAATATTTTAATCATTAAACTCAATGAAAAATGGTATTTTAGACATTTTATTTATACTTGTATTGGGTTTAATAATTAAAATATTCTTTTTCTAGCGATTTTACTTATATTGAAAGCAAATTAAAAATTTGAGGTTTAAATTGACAAAATTAAAAATTTATGATTTATCTTGTTACAAGACTCAAATTCTTAAGATTTTTTTTTTTTTGTAATTATCCCTAATTAAAAATTATGTGGATTATGAAAAACATATCTCGAAATTTATTCTGAAATGAATTATATGATATAAATTTAAAATTAATGTCATATAAGCCATATCTAGAATGATTGTGATTCATATATGTGTCTTTGGACTAGCTTTTTGAAATTTTTTCCCTAAATTTATAGTATTGTTAAATTACAATCTATTTTAATAAATACATGGTTAGAATTTGCATAGGAATTGTTCGCTAACTAACTTTGTCCAAAGATGTAAGAATTAATCTAGCGAATTTGTTTGATGGATTTGAAAATCGAAAATGGATACATGAAAACTAAATATTGAAAATTAGATGTTAAATTTTCTAAGTTAAAAATTTATTTGATAAAATTTTTAAATTTTGAATTAAAACAAATTATTTATACGTATAAGATGAGATTTAAAATTTGTAAATTTTCTTATCCAATTTCTATATCACGGTTGTGAGGAGAGGAGATGGTGGTGAGAGCAACCACAATTGTGGTTATGGTGCTAATGGCGATGGTGATAAAAGTGAATGAATAATGATTGTGGTAATGGTGAAAAGGGTTGTGTAATGAAGGTAGAAGGGTGGTAATTCTGATAATGGATGATAATAACAGTGGTGGTATGATGTAGGTCGAAAAGTATCATATTGATGTCACTAAAGTTACATTTTTAGTCTTTCAATATTGTTTATTTAGTAGAGATGATGTGTTTTGTACATTTGTATAGATTTGGCAGGTAACACACAAATTCAATCAAAAAGTGCGCGAAAGCAGATTCTACTAGCGAGAAGCAAAAAATCCGAGCTAGCCAGACCACCACACGTGCGTCTAACCACCGCTCGAGCGACCCACCTAGGGACGCGTGCGTGAAATTTTTAGTCTATTTTGTTAGGAATAAAAGGAAGAAAATTAGGCTAACTTGGGTTCAAAATTTATTCTGGAGAAAATGGAGACTAGGGTCTTAACGAAGTGACTTCTTCTCAAGCTTAAAGGAGACTTCCATGGGGGCTTCTTCTTCATCCTCTTCCTCTTCCCACTTCTCCATGAGTGGCTAGGTTATTCTTTTCTAGGATTTTGATGAAACCCTAGCCATCTAATTAGGTTTTCTTTTTTATTTTTAATTATGTAAAAGTTTGAACAATTGTATGGTGTTTTAGAAGTTTCATATATATATTTTCTATTATTTCTTCAAGTATTCGGCTTTTTGTAATTGTTGAATGTTTTTCATATAATAGTTTTCTATTCTTTTATATTCAAGGTATGAGACGAATCATACTACGAGAGACGAGTCATGTCGCTACCCTCGTTTAGAGTGAACGATTCATGCTACTTGAGATGGTTCGTACCCGTACATTGAATGTGATGATTTTCTTGTTAAGTGCTTTGAACTTGTAGTTGCGAAGCATTATTCCGTTCGAACCATAACATAATTGATTTCAATTTGAAACCCTATTTACGCAACTAGTGGTGAACTCATTGCCCTAGGTTTTTCCCCAAATCAGTAAATTTATCTTTAGTTATGATTGCTAGTTTATTCGCTTTATTTAATTTAATTATTATTAGTTTATGAATCCCTCAATTTTTTTATCAAAATTAATTTAAGAATTTAGCATTTAAATTAGTTTAATTTCATAATTGTCCCTGTAGATCGATACCTGGACTTGCCATTATTCTGAAAGAATTTGGTATAGTTTAGTGTTTATATTTAGTGTGTGTAACGACCCATCATGATATATGTAAGGATGGTAATGGTGATAATGAAACGATAATGGTATATGTAAGAATGATAATAATGTTAGCAGCCTCCTATGTTTTAAGTAGCAGCCTCCATGAGGGCTTGCAAGAGAGAGAAAGACAGAGACAAAGACAGAGACAGAGACAGAGACAGAGAGCTAGTCAGTCAAGCCCTCACTAAGGTATCACTCGAGGGAGGAGCTATGGGAGAAGGGAGCTGGATTCCAGTGATCCGCCAGAGGAAGGGAGGTGGAGCGCACAGTTATGGGAGGATTAGTACTGGTTTGGTCAATGTCTTCGTGGATAATGTACCGTTATCAATGGATGCAAAAGCTTTGTACAAAATTTTTATGAAGTTTGGAGTTGTAAAGGATGTGTTCATTCCATTCAAAAGAAGGAGGGCAACAAATTCATGGTTTGGTTTTGTTAGGTATGATTGTGAAGTTGCAGTGAATATAGCAGTTCAGAAAGCCAATGGATTATGGATTGATAATAGAAGATTACAAGTGAAGATTACGGCTTATGATAAAGGCAAAAAAGAGGAACAGACGAGGAGGCGAACTTAGTTTGATGCATCGTTAACTAAGGTTCAGACGTTTAATGGCCGAGGGACAAAGGTTGGACAGAAATCGTTTGCAGAGGTGCTAAAAAGTAATACAAATATGGCAGTGGGGAAGACAAGCTTTACGGTTAATGTGAATGCAGATGGACATGGGTGGTTGTTTGAAAGTGTGATTATGAGATTGAAGATTGAGTGCTCAGTCCATAGCATTCAAAAGGTACTAAAGGATAAAGGATTGAATCAGATAGTAGTAAGGTGTGGAGGTGGTAGGGATGTTGTGCTAACTTTCAAGACTCAAGAGACCCTGAAGAAAAATTTTGGTCTCATTAAGGAATGGTTTGATGAATGGTGTGAGTCCATTATGGTCTGGAAACTAGATTTGTTTATCGAACAAGAGCAATGTGTTTGGATTAGGTGCTTTAGAGTTCCTCTCCATGTATGGAATATATCAACTTTTCATTTTGTTGGGGAAATATGAGGAAATGCTCTCAGGTTATAGGATGATATTTGTCAACCCTCTTTTGTTATGGGAAGGTCCGTGTTGCCACTAGATGTATGAAGCAAATTAACACTACCATTAATCTTCAATGCAAAGGTAGTTGTTACCCAATTTTGGTATGTGAAGAACAAGCAATTGATAAAGCAATTACCAGCACCATGAGTCGTTCAAGGTACATGGATGGTTTCTGCTTAAATGAGGCTCCTAGCATGAAGTCAAATGATGGATGCATAGGTAAGGAGGATGGTATACCAGGGAAGGTAGGGAGCAATGTGGAGGATAATGATGGTGGCAGGAGCAAGGTGGTAGGTGAGCCAGCAAGGGACAACAGCAGAGTGGAAAAAGAGGCTGATCTGGAAGTAGTGCAGAACAAGTGTGATGGTGAGTCAACAGAGTTAGAGGAGGTGGCAAATATTCAATTGGTAAATGTTAACAGCATGATTAATGAGGTTGACATAGTTGTTGAGGAAATAACCCATAGCATGGGAAATAGTAATGAAAAGGCAGTTGGCATGAAAGAATCACTTATGAAGGCGGTGATTGAACTAGTTTCTCCATATTTCAATAATAATGATCAGTAGCAGGTTCTAGATGATAAAGCTATCACGCCAAGTTTGTTAAAAAGTCTTAGTAAATCAAAAGTGAATATGCCAGGAGTTAATTTGGTGGTGAATGTTGGAGAGACCCATGTGGATAGGCCATCAAATACGCCCATTATTTATAATTTTGAAGGCAAGGTAGTTTTGGGTCCTATAGGTGTTGCAGCCCAAAGTTTTATTGGGTCTGGAACAGGTACACTATCGGGTTTAGTGGGTAATGTAGATGAGAGAGGGAGTGATCTACCTCAGAGCAGGAGGAGAAGAGTATGTGGAAAAAAAATAATGATGGTGGCTGATTCAAGATAGGTTCGAAAGATGGCGAAATGTGCTAGTCTGGTGCGAAAGAATTGATCAATTCCTACGGGCAGCTGGAACAGATGAGCGATTTTTAGAGCTGTTGTTGTAGCGTTGTCATCATCTATGTCGAGCAGACGATCTCAAAGTAGAGGATGTATAATGCATTCGAAGGCAGAAGCGACAATCCAGGTTGGCAAAACACTGGGTGCACAATGCGAGGGACGAGAAGATGATTTGTTACTTAAATGTGTGGAATTAGAGAAGAAGGATACAGAGAGGGTTGTACAGGGGGTGGGGCTTGATCAGTCCTAGCTAGCTTAAGGTGGAGATTTCGGTGGACAGAGAGGTTTGTAATGATTTTGATCATATAGAATATTTGAGGGCTTGGGAGAGCTAGAAAACGGAGAAAAATAAAGGAGGTGCTCAAAGAAATGAAAATGGACATGGTGTTTATTCAAGAGACAAAGAAAGCAGAAATTTCGAAGGATTTAGTACGTTCATTATGGCTAGGGGTGGAGATGGAATTCATGGCAATGGATTCGGAGGGGTCAACAGGTGGACTTTTATGTATATGGAATCCTTCTGTTTTTGCATTGTCCAGTTGTTGCTGTAACAGGAATTTCATCTTGTTAACAGGTATGATTGCTCATTCTTTTATGTGTGTGCTATTGAATGTATATGCTCCAAATAAGGTTGCTAGGAGAGGATTACTTTGGGAGTCCATCATTAGGTTAAAAGTCCTTTTTCCAATATCCTTGGTGTCTGGGGGGGATTTTAACGAAATTAGAAATATTGGGGAAATGAAAGGTTGTTCTAGGAGGGAGAAGGGTATAAAGAATTTCAACAATTTTATTGATTTAATAGAAGTGGAGTAAAATTGATAGGTTTCTGCTGTCATCTGAGTGGCTACTAATGTTTAAGTTCAAGATATGGAGGTTGCCTCGAGTAGTTTCTGATCATTGCCTAGTGGTTCCAATGGAAGATACAAGTTGCTGTAACAGGAATTTCATCTTGTTAACAGGTATGATTGCTCATTCTTTTATGTGTGTGCTATTGAATGTATATGCTCCAAATAAGGTTGCTAGGAGAGGATTACTTTGGGAGTCCATCATTAGGTTAAAAGTCCTTTTTCCAATATCCTTGGTGTCTGGGGGGGATTTTAACGAAATTAGAAATATTGGGGAAATGAAAGGTTGTTCTAGGAGGGAGAAGGGTATAAAGAATTTCAACAATTTTATTGATTTAATAGAAGTGGAGTAAAATTGATAGGTTTCTGCTGTCATCTAAGTGGCTACTAATGTTTAAGTTCAAGATATGGAGGTTGCCTCGAGTAGTTTCTAATCATTGCCTAGTGGTTCCAATGGAAGACACAAGAGATTAGGTTCCAAGACCGTTTAGATTCATTAATGCTTGGGTTTTGCATCCTCAGTTCTTATTTGTTGTGAAGAAAGCGTGGGAGGAAACAGTGGTGTCAGATTGGGTTGGTTATAGAATTTTTACCAAATTGAAAGTAGTTAAGGTATCATTGAAACAGTGGAATCTGGAAGTATTTGGCGATGTTAATCATAAACTTAAAGCATCTGAGGAGGCATTACATGAGTTGGATCTGGTTTCTGAAGTTAGAGATCTAGATGATGGTGAGGTGGAAAGAAGAATGGAGCTTAGAGGGGAGGTGATTAAGTGGAGCAAGAGAAAGGAATGGTTGTGGCTTTAAAAATCAAGATTGTCATGGACATTGAAAGGGGATAAGAACACTAAAGTTCTTTCATTCCATTGCACCTTGTCGTCGTAATAAGAACTTGTTAAATTCATTGATTGTTGATGGAGTTGTGGTTGAGGATCCGGGGAAAATTAAGGAAGAAGTTTTTAGGCATTTCAGCGACTTATATGTCGAATCTTGGAAGGTTAGGCCTAAGCTTGGAGGAGTTTTCAAAACAATTGGGAGTAATGCTACTGAGGTTGAATTAGAATCTGCTTTCTCTGAAGGTGAAAGATAGGCAGCTGTTAAAGAGTGCAGTGGTAATAAAGCACCTGGGCCTGATGGGTTTAACTTGTCATGTTTTCAGAAGTGTTGGAAGGTGTTTAAGGAGGAGATGGTTCAGTTTTTCAATGAGTTCCATTGTAATGGCAGATTGGCTAAGTGTCTTACTAGTTCCTTTGTAACTTTAATTCCAAAGGTTTTAGGCCAATAAGTCTCATTGGAGCAATGTACAAGATCTTATCTAAAGTTCTTGCTAATAGATTGAAGTGTGTAATTCCTATGGTGGTTAGCAAGGTTCAATCTACTTTTTTGCAAGGGGGGAATATCTTTGATAGGGTATTGATTACGAATGAAATTGTGGATTGGTGGAAGTGTTTCCATAAGAAAGGGGTGATTCTAAAACTGGATTTCGAAAAAGCATATGATTCAATCAATTGGGACTTCTTATTCTTTATGCTTGGTAATTTTGGTTTTAGCAGGAAATGGATTGGCTAGATGAAGGAGTGCGTAACTGCAGCAAGAGTGTCAATATTGGTTAATGGGTCTCCATCTTCAAAATTTTGTCCAGAGAAGGGGCTAGGACAAGGTGATCCCCTTTTACCTTTTCTGTTCAATATTAATGTTCTGCTAACTCGAGCTAAGGAGTTGGGACTGATTAGAGGGGTGAAGGTTGGGGCCAGTGATGAGTGTATATCTCATTTGCAATTGCTGATGACACCATCATCTTCTGTGAGGTAGATTGGGTGGAAATTCCTACCATAAAAAGAATTCTAAGATGTTTTCGAGGTGATGTCTGGTCTAAAAATAAATTTTCATAAAAGTTGTGTATACGAGATGGGTGTAGAAGAGAGGCTGATTGGTGATTTTGCAGCTCGATTACACTGTCAATCTAGTAAATTACCTTTTAAGTACTTAGGTTTGCCATTGGGGGCTAGTCCAAGAAGGTTGAAGACGTGGAAGCCTGTTGTTGAAATGTTCAAGTTCAGGTTAGCAAGGGTGGAAAAGGAGGTTGTTATCGTTTGGTGGTAGACTGTCTCTCATTAAATCGGTGCTATCAAGTCTGCCTGTGTATTATCTGTTTCTGTTTAAAATGCCGGAAGGTGTAGCAAAGGCTATTGATAAGGTTCAGGCTACTTTTCTTTGGGGAGGGTCTAATTTAAAAGGAAATTGCATTTGGTGAATTGGGAGGACGTTACTAAAAGTAAGAATCAAGACGGGTTGGGAGTAAGGAGGATTAGGAATGTTAATGATTTATGCTATCTAAGTGGTGGTGGAGGTTTGCAAATGAAGATAAGGCCTTGTGGAAAAAGGTAATATGTTCCAAATACCCGATGACTGGTGGTAGCTGGTTCCCGTTCCTGGATAACTCAGACATAGTATTAAGGGTTTGGGAAGACATTCTTGGTGTAGCAGCTTCCAATCCCCAGCTCAAGCACTTTAATTTTTCAAATGTGGACTTAGCTATTGGTGATGGGACTAGAATTGGGTTTTGGGTTGATAAGTGGATGGGTAATCAATGTTTCTAAGAGTCTTATCCCAGGTTGTTTTGATTGGTTACAAACAAAGATGTTTCATTACGAGGGATGTTGGATCAAAAAGGAAATTCCGAGGAGTGGTGTTTTCATTTT